AAAACCTCCTAGGAGTAAATAAAATTGAAATGGGTGCAGCGCTAATAACAAATAAATGTATAAAAAGTGCTTGATGCAGATGGAGAATGATAACTCATTCAACTCATATAACATATAATGTGCCGATAGTGCAAAAATTCAAAATAGTGACATAGGTGTTGAAGATAAAACATATATAAATACAATAAATATAAAGTGCACAATCAAAACCACTTGAAGTGGTTAAAGTGATAGGTGAAAGTCCAATTAATTGATTGTGGGGATCCTAAGAGATCTCAAAATAGATATTCCAATTTCTTATTCCAAAGTGGTAGATGGTGTGATCGATAATAGGTAAAATGCGCACTCACCAGATGCGTGATTTAATCACGCATTTGAGATATAACTGTCTCATCAGGTCAGCCAGATCATCCACTATGGTGCATAGCCAGGTTCCTCTTCCCTTCAGGGTCCTCCAGTTAGTAACAGTAACGTCAGGTTTCCTCTAAGATAGGCTCTGTGAATGGTTAGAATCAAAGACAGCCCAAAAAAGGATGCCACATAGCATGATACTGTATTTATCAGGGGATTTTTATTCCCAAATCAGGGTGCACAAACAGAAAACAAACAGACTGACCATGTGTGTCCAAGATGGCCGCCAGAGGCGGCATGACGTCAAGATGCTGTAGCTCCTCTCTGACTCGTTTCATGCTCTAGCACATAGTCATAGGGCTTATGCCACTATGTCACTATAGGCTTTTACTATCAGTCTACCCTTCCCCCGAACATTTCTCTCCCTCAACATCCATGCGCCTGGCGCAGCTTTGAAGGGATATAGCCAGAGAGGTTTATCTTCGAATGAGTAACAAGTGCAGGAATTGGAGTGGGCTGAGGTGTGAAACTGCAATAATTAGGTGGTCAGAGGTGTGAAGGTAAAGGAATGGAAGTGGTCTGAGGTGTAAAAGTGCAGGATTTGGGGTGAGCTGAAGTGTGAAGGTACAATAATTGGGGTGATATGTGCTGTAAGGGTGCAGGAATGGAGATGATCAGAGTTGTAAAGGTGCAGGTGTGTGGGTGATCTGAGGTGAGAAAATGCAGATGTTAGGACTGATCTGAGGCCTGAAAAAACAGGAATTGGGTCATGTGGGTTGTAAAAATGCAGGAATTGGGGTGAACTGAGGTCTAGAGGTGCAGAAATTGGGACTGATCTGAGTTGTGAAGGTACAGGAATTGGGGCTGACCTGTGGTCTGGAGGTACAGGAAATGGGGCTCATCATAGGTTTGGAGGTGCAGGAATTGGGCCTGATCTGAGGTCTGGATGTGAAGGAACTGGGGCTGATCTGAGCTTCAGACGTTCAGGAATTGGGGTAATCTGAGGTGTGAAGGTGCAGGAATTGGGGCTGATCTGAGGTTTGGAGCTGCAGGAATTGGGGTGATCTGAGGTGTGAAGGTGCAGGAATTGTGATCAGAGTTCTGGGGGTTCAAGAGTTGGGGCATATCTGAGGCTAGAAGGAGGTGGGAAAATGCAGGAATTGGGACTGATCTGAGGCCTGAAGGAACATGAATTGGGGCTGATCTGGGTTGTAAAAATTCAGGAATTGGGGTGAACTGAGGTCTGGAAGTGCAGAAATTGGGACTGGTCTGAGGTGTGAAGGTGCAGGAATTGGGGCTGATCTGAGGTCTGGAGGTACAGGAACTGGGGCTGATCTGAGGTTTGGAGGTGCAAGAATTGGGGCTGATCTGAGATTTGGAGGTGCAGGAATGGGGGCTGATCTGAGGTTTGGAGGTGCAGGAATTGTGATCAGAGTTCTGGGGGTTCAAGAGTTGGGGCATATCTGAGGCCTGCAGGCAGGAATTGTTCAGGAATTGAAGGTACAGGAGAATGAGGTTTGTGTGAAGGGTGCAGAAAGGAATTGGGGTTCTGGGGGTTCAAGAGTTGGGGCATAATCTGAGGCCTGAAGGCACAGGAATTGTCATTGGAGAATGGGGTGTGAAGTTGTAGGAATTGGGGTGAGCTGAGGTGTGAAGGTGCAGAAATTGGGGCTGTTCTAAGGCCTGAAAGTGCAGAGATTGAGGCTGATCTGAGGTGTGAAGGTGCAGGAATTGGGGCTGATCTGAGGCCTGAAGGCACAGGAATTGTAGTTGGAGAATGGGGTGTGAAGTTGTAGGAATTGGGGTGAGCTGAGGTGTGAAGGTGCAGAAATTGGGGCTGATCTGAGTTTGGAGGTACAGGGATTGGGGCTGATCTGAGGTGTGAAGATTAGGAATTGAGGTGATATGAGCTGTAAGGGTGCAGAAATTGGAGATGATCATAGGTGTAAAGATGCAGGTATTTGCGTGATCTGAGCTGTGAAAATGTGGGAATTGGGACAAATCTGAGGCCTGAAGGAACAGGAACTGGGGCTGATCTGGGTTGTAAAAATGCAGGAATTGGTATGAACTGAGGTCTAAAGGTACACAAATTGGGGTAACCTGAGGTGTGAAGGTGCAGATATTGGGACTGTCCTGAGGTGTAAAGGTGCAGGAATTGGGGCAGATCTTAGGTCTGAAGGTACAGGAACTGGGGCTGATCTGAGGTTTGGAGGTGCAAGATTTGGGACTGATCTGAGGTCTGGAGATGCAGGAATTGTGGTGATTTGAGGCTTGAAGGTGCACAAATTAGGGTGATCAGAGGTGTGAAGGTGCGGGAATGAGGGCTGATTTAGGGTCTGAAGGTGCAGAGATTTTTATTAGCTCATAAGCGTGAGTTTATCAGCTGCAGTGTACAGGAGCCCTTTGAGTCTACATGCATTTTAAAATAATTAGAAAGGCCATATCATCTTTTTTCCTGTTCATTGAAGGGCCTATGATTTAGAGACAATTGGGTTATACTGCTGCCTATAGGAGGATTTGGATAGTGGCAAACAAAAAGACAGTGACCAGCCTGCAGCCTGGTATACCCCCTTCCATTCCCAGCATGCCTCAGCTCTAGGAGGATGGATGCCTTTTCTCTTGGAAAAAAACATTTTTGGCCTTTTTTGGCATTTATATTTGCATTGTAATTTAATGTTCTTCTTTCAAAACGTCTCCCTATGCAGCCATTGTGTAACCTCAGCAATAACTTTGGAGGTCATACCTTAATTCCATTGAACTGGATGATTGCAGGGCCTTCTTGGAATGTGACCTTCAGGCACTGGGCTCTATTGTGGTACTCTTCAGAGCTTTTTGTGTAATTGTGTTTGTGTTAGTTAGATGATGGGCCTTTTCAAGGTCTAGCGTCATTAAACAGCTTCTGGTGTGAACCTGTCTCTGAAGACTCACTTTGTGAGTAGGCTGTGTGGGCTTCATTTATTTGAATCATTGGGCACCATTATTAGCCTATTTTCTTTTTGTTTTCTATGAAAAGGGTTAAAACACTGAAGGTCAGAAGGCATCATTGGTGGAGTGTCATGTGCACACACACTCTGTGCTCTTGTTCCCATCATTTATTGTGAGGTACCAGCTTCTTGCCAATGCTCCTAACTGCAGGAAACAGGGTTTCACCTTAGTTAATCCCTCCTGATGTATACAGTGAACTTAACAATTTGACACTTCCGCGCTATATTAAGTAAATGGCACACAAAAGTTGATAGCAGCCAACACAGTATTGCAGGCAACAACACATAGACATATAGAACACAAAGGTGCTAGCGCCGCACCTTTGTGTTCTATATACAGAGGACTTGTCACCTCTGGCCATTTGAATCTCTTCTGCTTCCAGCTGCCGGTTAGTAAGTACTCAAGGTTTTACCTTGTATTCTGAGCTGATTTGTCCCTGTCTGCTGTGCAAACACACGTGAAACAGTTCCGTTACTGAGTCCCTCCAGCTCATGATCCACTGACAGTTCCAGGACAGCCTGCAGTTCTCCCTCTCAATAGCCTGGAAACTCTGTCCCCTGCCTGAGTCCCTAATCCATTTATTACATCTTCCTTACAGATTTCACTGCAGTTATTTACAGGCTGAATTGGAACAGTGATTTCTACTGACTTTGACCACAGAATTTGCTACCAAGAAACTCCACCAATAGATGTCAAGGAGATTCCTAGTTGCCCCCTGGGGAAGACGCTCTCAGGGGTGTCACTAGTAACACTTGGGTTGGGACCCCACGCTTCCTGTAAAAAAATTAAAAACCACTCAGAAACAGCCATCCTGAGAAGTCTAGGGGGAGGATGGACATCGCTACCCCTGATCCCTACCGTCAATAGCAGATGTGAAACAAACCTTGTCCCTGTCACTTCGTGCCCCGGGGGATCGGGTGAACAGCCACACCCCTATTTTTTTCACATAGAACACCCACAGAATGGATCTTCAAGTCTCTACCTCTTGCACATAGAACACCTGGATCTTCTCGAACTCTTTCAACCGTAAATGGTTCAATTACCTCACTAAGTCGTATCCTACCACTATCCTTCCAGCCTACTGGACAGGTCGACAGAATGTACTCCCCTTAGCTCAATGATACAAACATGTGCTATACTATACTTGAGTCAATGTTCTCTACCACCTACACAGTCAACTCATGCCCATAGCGGGCTATATATGCTTCCACAACCTGGTTTCCATTGATACTAGGAAGTCTCTAGTGTTTTAGTGTTTTAGTTACACTAGAAATGATTATTTTTCAAACGCTACTCTGGGAACTAGTGTCTTTTGAAAGTTTATTTTAGTCGAACATAAGTCACCTGAGATCCCGCTATTCTCTGTGCTCTCTCTTCTTTACTTATCTTTTCCCCTTTTACACCCCCCCCTCTTTTTTCTCTCTTTTCTTTTTTTCTCCCCCCCCTCTTTTTTTACCCCATCTAATCTCCAGTCCCACTAAACCCTCTCCTCCCTCTCCTCATTTCTGGATATTTCCCTATCTATTCTCTAGACCGATAAGAGTTTGGTGTTTCAACTTTGATATTCTCAATGTCTCGATATTATGTGAATGGTTTCTTTTTTTTGGTTATGAAAGCATAATTGGGATGTTAATACTGCTTCAATTACCCAGAAAATGTATTACCAGGGACGGACTGACAACTCATGGGGCCCCCGGGCAATAGGGGATCATGGGGCCTCCGTGTCCTTGCCCAAACTCAAAAAAGCCTATGAAAAAGGTACCAGGGGGATCTCACAGGGCCCCCTACTGACCCCGGGCCCTCGGGCAGTGCCCGAGTTTCCAAATGGTCAGTCAAAACTCAAATAAAAATTTCTTTAAAAAAAAAAATCAGCAGCTAATGTTCCACAATCTAGCTATGTCCTCACCCCAGCTGTTCTTTCCATCGGTATCCTGTCCAAGGTGCCGGCATCTCAGCTGTGGACACCCAGCTGTGACAATTTGCGGTTTCACAGCTTGATGCCCAATGCGCATGAGCGAGTAGCGCTGCACACTCTGAATGGTCCAGCAGTCTTCTGGGACCTGTCATATGTCCCAGAAGACTGCAGGGAGGGAGGGGGAGGAGAACTTTTGCTTCCGATTGTCTGGGCGGTCGGAGCAGAAGTGGGAGTAAGTACCCGGCAAAATTGCTTACCCACTCCCCTTTGCTCTCATTAACCTCTCATTTCTTTACCAAGAGCGGGGGAACAGGCCTTAAAGTGGAACTTTGTCTTTTGGGTAGAGCTCTGCTTTAAGTTAGGGATTGACGAATTTCAAATGGGATTCCCCAAACCCTTGGTGAATTGAAACTGGGCAACTGCTTAAAAGGGTCAGACACACATCTGTAAGGCTGGCCATACACTGTATCCTTTAGTGTTAACAAAACCATGTTATATGAGGACAAACCTGAGCAATCTATTCAATAAGTATCAAATCATCCAGGCTCTTACACTGCACAGTTGATGGTAGATCTAAAGGAGATTATAGAATCAAATTATACATTGTATGGCCAGCCTCAAAGACATTGTCAGCCTTTCTAATGTCCTGAGTTTTTTAATGTTTCAAGATATTTTTAAAGTGCATACTATAATTGTCATCTATCTTCTGCGTGGATTTAATATTTTTCCTGTAGAACTGTGTCTGGTTATTTTTATAGACAGGAAATATACCTTACATAAGAAACTGCACTGGCAAGGACACAAGTTACAATTTATGTGTGAGTCAGCAGTAACTGCAGACTTGTCCTGTCCTAGGAATTCTTGTAGCACATCATGTATTTAATTTCACACAATGATTAATGAACCTGTTATCCTTTTGTTTGAAATAAACACGTACAGATCAGATTTTTAGCATAACATATACAAAAAGTTAGGTTTCCTTTTTGAGGCAGTAGGTTCAATACATATGGCGACGCCGGTAAACACCATAGATGGTTTCATACGTTATCTGGTGTCTTTTCTCAGACATTCGTTTGGTACCCACTGGCCGGTGGGGGGGTGTAGGGAGAAAGACATACCTGCCAGTAAACGAAACCATGGTTTAATAGGTGTAAGAGATTCTGACTATATATGTTTTTCTATATATCTGATCATGTGACACATACCCTGAGATCTTATGAGATATAATAGTTCATATGGAAACAACACTCACTTTGTCCCGAGGAAGCAGACCATATCAGCGAAATGCGTAGATCATAGGGTTGTAACTATTTAGGCATGTTGACATTGATGTGTCAGAGTGTGATCAAAATCAAGTGGTTTTATGTAAACAAATGATATATGGTGATGTGATTGTAAAGACATTTATTTGTTTTTAATATATATATTTAAAAAAATATACATTTTTGTATATACCATGTCATGGTTCCTAGATAAGGTTGCATGCATTGGAGAAAATGTGCCAATCAAAACAATTTCTTGTTGAAATTTGAAATTTGCCACATGGCTAAAATGAGGTTTCTTCACAGTGAGAGCTGTGAAAATGTGGAATAGACTCCCTCAAGAGTTGGTTCTGGCCATTAATTTACATGTATTGGGATTTTTTTTAGCAAAGACGTGTAGCAGAATACATTTTTGCCTACATTTATGATGAAATTTGATTTTTACATTTTTTTATTGGATTGTTTATAGCAAAAAGTCAAAAATATATATATTTTTTTTTTCAAAATTGTCAGCCTTTTTGTGTTTTTAGCGCAAAAAATAAAAACTGCAGAGGTGATCAGATACCACCAGAAGAAAGTTCTATTCTATCCCCCCTTTCTTCCCTGTGTTTGCCCTCTCTTTTCCACAACTTAATAAAAGTGCTTGAGTCATTATGTAAACCCATTATACAACATATTACAGAGCACAGTGCTTGCCATTTGATTTCTATATTTGATCCTGGTCACTTTTATTTTTCTTCTCAGAGATTTGAATCATCAGAGGCAATTGGTGTGACTCTATCTCATCTCCATCCTCAATCAGTCACAAAGCGGCAATTTTACTAAAACTGGAGCACTCAGAATCTAGTGCACAGTAACCAATCAGCTTCTTATCTCAGCTTGCTCAATTATGCTTTGACAATAAAACCTGGAAGCTGATTGGTTTCTATGCCGAACTGCACCAGCTTTTGAACGCTTCACTTTTAATAGATCTCCCCCATATTGTCATGGGAAGATATAATTATTCCATCCCACTAATGGCAGGTGTGAGCAGGGCCGATGACTCCACTTGGAAAACTAGGCAGCCACCTAGGGCATGCCGCCACCTAGGGGTGCTTGGAGGCAGCACAGGCTGGCACTCCCTTTAGCTGAGGGGAGGGGTGGCAGAGGGGAGGAAGAAAGGACAGAAAGGAGTGCACTTCCGCCTTCCACGGCCAGTGCATGCTCCGAAACGTGTCGCAGTGCACCCTGGGATCTGACGTCATCACGGCCATGCCGCCGCTACGTTCCAGCGTGCATTCCATCCAGCTCTGAGGGAGGACGTGCACGCCGGCCGGCCTCACCGCTGTTCCCCTCCAGCCACCACACTGTTCCAGCCGAGAGCTGACCTCCCCACATCGCAGAGAGATGACGGCTCTTCACCCGGGTTACCACCCCACCGTTAACTATTGTTAACCACGGTTTTTAAGCTTATGATTACTTCACACATGTGAGTGTTTCTACATTTAGACTTGAATTAAAAGACTTATTGCACTTAGAGGCGCTTCTCTCCTTTTTCTCATCTACAGAGGTTGCTAGAGCTTATTTGGAAGCCTTGCCCTCAGTGCCACACGGAATTCTACGCTCTTCATACAGTAGCCACTAATACCACGATCACCCGATACTACCATTTCCCAGGACTTTGCAGTGTTTGCGCTGTTACAACCCTTCCTCATTTTTACCTCCCCCCATTGCCTGGGGAATTCAGCCTGGGATCTGTCAGGGTGTGGATCCATCATCCTCCACTCACTGCAACTGTCACCCTGCCACGCCAGTCACAGATACAGTCCACCCATGACACTGACTTTGTCTTTAATAGTGGTGCTGGTGGCATTTTATGGCACTTGTTTTTGCAAATTAAAAGAAATTTAGCAGTTTCATGTTTTGTTGATTTAATATTTTCTACTGTTTTAAAAATTATTTTTTTTTTTATGGGGGGGGGGCGCAAGTGACTACTCTTGCCTAGGGCGCAAGATAGTTTTGTAATTTTAGCATGAACAGCATCATTCTCTATAACATTTTATTAGCGAAAGGGTTGACAATACAGTGAGGTAAGGAAAAAGGCCAAGTTTGACTCATTACTGTCTTAATATCGAAGCTTCATATGAGATGGAAATATGGAAGCGGATGAAGTGGGTCATTTTTTTCATAGATTTTGGTGAACAGCCAATGTTGCTGGCAGTAAACTCTGTGATACCAGTTATCAGGCTGATAGGATTCCAAGATGACAGATTCCAGGAGAGAGAAAAAAACAGACTTGGATTGGTGGGCAAGCTGTGCATGTTTCTAGAAGGCAAACTGTACCATTAAAGAGGATCTCCGCCCTGTAAAAAAAAACAGACACTTACCTGTCCCAGGATCCAGCACTGTGCTCACCCGACCCAGCTCTTTGCCAGTCTTCGGGTCCCCAGTGCTGGCATCTAAACTGTGGGCAGCCGACTGTGACTACTTGCAGCTTCACTGCTGGTTGCCCACTAACATATGCGCAATCTGCCCTCTGACCCCATGAATGGTCCTGCAGTGACTGATTGGGGGGATGCTTTTGCTCCAATCACCTAGGCTGTCGGAGCAGATGTCGAAAATCAGGTACATGCCCCCCAAAAAGCATAGTGGCATCCTGGGGATGAGTCAGCCTGGGGAGTGAGGAAGTGAGGTTATCTCAGGACAGACAGGGAGGCTGTAACAGGTCAAGGCTTCTGGAGCCCTCTCAGCTTTCCAGAAACCCAAAAACTTCCTGGAACAGGGGAGGAGGAGGGGAGGAAGCCCAGATCTGCATGTTTGAGGGACCTTGGCCAATCCCCTGGCAGGAGGCTGGGCATGGTGACCAGGGCAACCCTCAAGTGTGGCAGAGCCTGTGGGAATGTTTGCAGTTTTGGGTGGAAAATGGATTGAGGAAGGAGTGATAAGCCTAGCAGGGGAGCCCACCTACAGGCAGATTGCTGGACAAGAGGATCTTCACTGCCTCAATGTCTCCTGGGGGAGGACAGCCTGTGTAACAGGGAAAGAGCCAGCCCAGCATAAGGCCTGAAGACAGCCACCAACCCACTAAGCTAACAGGAGAGCACAGTGTGAGTACTCTTACACCCCCTGGGCCAGATAAGGGGAGAGGGCAGTCAGGTACAATACCCTGCTAGCTTCTCATCTGAGATTGTTCAATCAGTAGCTCTTGGGCCCCCTTGCTCAGAGTTACCCTCAGGCATCTGCGTGGTGAGAAGGAATCATCCGGGGTCTAAGGAGGTACATCTAAGAGCCTTTAGTGCTCTTCAAGAAGAGACTGTTGCTAATCCAAATCTTTGTACATGGTTGCTAAGGAGTTTTCCTCAAGAAATCCTGCAGTTCCTCTGGCATCCCATATACCCCTAGACCCTATCCAAGTTTACCCTCTCAGTAAAATCACAAAACCAAGCTCAAGGACTGTTTACTGAATCCAGTGTGCAGGGTATGGGAAATGCATGTTGCCTTGCCATGCAGAGCATAGGGGAACCCAATCAAATTCAGTGACCCTTACGAACATCTCTAGATATCTTCATGTTGACCTTTTCCTCTGCAGGGTTCCCTCTGAGAGCACTCTAGGTGTATCTTACTGTAAATCGATGCACATTTGCACATTTCTGACAAGTTTTAACCATAACAGGTAACTC